CTGGTCGTATCTTGAAAAATTCGTAAGGAGGGGCATTCGTAACTAGAGGTACCACTGTATTCAGGCTTCATTCTTGTTTGAATAAAGATTCAAGTTCAGCCAAGCTGCATGTGAGAGTCTTCTACCATCTCAAGGCAAATGCTGAATAAGGGGTTAAGCATTTGAAAACCTGTGATTTAATACTGTTGAGAAGGCAATAGTTTATCAGGCAAACCGCTATGCGTACAATTTTTTGCCTGAAGACATAATAATAAATATTACAGCTGCTTCTTTAAAAGTTGAGAAGCTTCACGTCTGCTATCATTGGCTTAGGTGGGGGGGGGTTAATCTGGGGAGAGTGCAATGCTGGAAACAAAGCATGGGCAGCCATCTAAGCAGCACACGGCTGAGCCAGGAGCCATTCTGGATTTAACTGCCGTTAGTGAAAGGCTTAAGAGAGGAGGAGCAGGACTTGTAACCAGAAGGGACTCAATACTGCTCCTACTTCTACTGCAGTTGGTGAGCACATACTGTCTGTCTCTGAGGCAACCTCTATGCAACACTATCCAATTTTAGTTCAAATGTGCTGCTTTTGAGTTTTTGCTTCAGTTTTAAAGCAACATAAGGGGAGAAAGAGATTTTCTCACCCCCTTTTCAGTTCAACCCCTTTAAAGTTTTGAAAGATACTTTTCTCTCCCTGCCACAAAAGAAAATTTCACTATACTTGTTTGATGGAATTAATTCTTCTAATCAGAAATTACCTGCATAGAGATAGTGATACCACTGCTATGCTGCTTCTTAGATACAATCACAAACTTTAAAGCCTTTTCTCTTTTTTAAACAGAGGCTTGCCTTAAGACTTCCCCTCTACTTGCCTCAATTTCATCCATCCAATCTCCCCTATAAAAACAGCTATGGGAAAAGTAGAAGAGCTTTACGAGGGAGGAGATAGTCAAAGGGAGGGCCAAATCAAGCTCTACTACTCAAGGGACAGGGAAGATGACATCAGTAAGGAAATTTGATATTAACAATATGACAGCTCCTCCTGGGTCACTGTATGCTATTAGCTATCATCAAGGTGAGGCTGAATTCACAGCTCAATGCTGGGGATGAGGCTCTTCCCTCACACAAGCAGAAGTAAGTGTGGACCAAATTTTCACCCACTTAATCCACTTTCACTGGGGATTGAGGGTAAAGAGGAAGAACAGCTGGTTGTGGAGGTGACCTAAAGGAACCAGTGGAGCACCCACCACCAGCAAAGTGAGCTACTGGGTCCAAGGGCAGGGTAGTATGGCAGCATTTCAAACCTGAGCTTGAAGACCTATGTTATGTTGCCCACACCATTGCAAACCACAGATAAATAGGGAAGAGATCACTAGTTGCCTTTTGAGCTGTGGAATACTTTAGCACCTGCATAGGCATTATCTAAGCAGCAGCAGTTAATTCATGTTGTCAACTAATAACAAGGCACTTCTTCTCAAGCAGCCATTGCGAGGTAAATGGGATAGTGGTTCAAAAGCTTCAGATCTGATTTAAGCAAAGGTGCAGATAATGGTTCTGGATGATTCAGTACTGTGAAGAGTGCTGGATTCTGACTAGTTGTGCCTGACTAACAGAACGCTCCTTCACCAAGGAGGTGATGGAAATACAGGCTTCAACAGGAGCATCCCCTGCATCTCAGATGTACTGGTGGTGGTGGTGACAGAATGAGATTGAGGAGATATTTGCTACTGTAGGTGCCAGCACCTCCTACGCTGCAGGAATCATGTTGAGGTGTTTGGACCTAGGTCTGGAGATATGTCTGTCTGGGCAGCGAAATTTGAACAGCGGCTTCATTGTTGCAGGGCAAATATGAAAAAGGCAGCCCATCAGGTAAGATTTGTCTACATCAGCTGAGTTGCTTGATTCTACAGCATACTCCATAGTAGAGTAGTATGGAGATAGCCTTTAAAAAAACATGTAGCAGTTGTTAGGAAAACACAAACTTAGCCTGAAAAATAGGAAGGTATGAGAAAGAAATCCATGATTACCCTGCCTTGACTCTCTTTGGTATAAGAGAAAGGAAAGGAGAAATGCTTTCACGTTTTTGTTATTATAATCCCTATCAATACTAGAGTTTTAGTATTTCTTGCGGTGTCTGTTTCCTGATCAAGTCTACCTCAAAGGGCTGACACCTGAGTCTGGGAGCAGCCAGCACCTAGATCATCTTCAGAAGTTCTAAGGTTGTCCCCAGTGCTCTCCACCTGCCTATTCAAGTAAATATTTAAGCAGCAGATGGCCATTCCTTGTTTGACAAGGTGCACAACCAGGTGTATCCATGGGAAAAGAGACTCACAGCTGAAGCAGTTTCTGAGCTATCCTTTGCAGCAAATGTCTTCAGCTCAGACACAGTTATGCTGAATCAAATTCTGGCCTTGTTTTTGTTTGTTTGTTTTTAGAAAATCTACTTTGCACTGAAGTCATATGGTAGCTGAACAAATTTAGTGATGACAAAAAATTAGTAGTTGCCACTCTGTGTAATCAACCTTTTTTCCCTAGCAGAGAGACTTCCTGGTTATAGAAGTGGCCCAGTTTTAGGCTGCTTTCGGGAGAGGAGCAGCATCACCAGGGCCACTGCTTTCTTGGCTCCAACCTCACCTTGAGTAAGTATCCATTGAATATTACCAAGGAGAAGAGAGATGCTGTCTGATGGCTTGGCTATTAATACAGAATATTCAGTTCTGAGCTATCTAAGCAATTCACAAAAAAATTGAGAGAGACTCATTCCTGATCTGACAATGATAGTATGGCAGTACATTCTCTGCACATCAAACATTGTCCTAAGAAAGAGTGTGTTCAAGTATGTGATGACACCCAATCACTGACGCTTGAGTACTGATACACTAGAGAAGCTCCTCTTCCTTAAACTTTATCTTGCTGGATGTATTTATTATTTATTTATTTAAACAATTTATATAGCTGCCTATATCATTGAGAAGACCCAGCATGAAACACCAACAGGGTCAGAGAAATGCTGTTCCATAGGACAGATGCAGCAAGTCACCCATTTGAACTGAGAGCTAGTTATTTTGTTAATAAAGCCTTCCCAAACTTGCCTAGCATTAGCTGTTTATCCACTACATTTGTTCCCTCCACTGCTTATTAACAAATCTTGATTTCTGTGAGTTCTTTGTCATGGCTTTTAATGTATATTCCTTATATAATGATTATGGAATGTTTCTATACACAGGCATTTTTCAGCTCATACTCAGTGTTATATAAACATCAACTAGAGTTCATAGAAGTATATTTGCAGCTCAAATACCAAAACTTAATAAGCTAAGAAGTTTGATTACATAGCTTTTCTGGGTTCTTGTATACAATTGTTTTGCATCATAGCAAAAAGGAAAAAGCCCAGTGAAAATTACTGTTTTTGATAAAGAAAATCCATATAACTAAGAACACACAATATATTTCCTACTTACCCATTTGGCTAGAGCTTCCTTGATAGTTGTTGCTTTTGCCTAACAAAAAAAAAACCCCAACAACATATAAATAAAATGTAATGGATTTGCACAACCAGCTTAGTTAATTGTCTGGCTTTATCATTTGTTTCTTTGCCTGTTAAAATTTATATTTTTTCCTCCAGGAGCTCATGATGGCATACAAAGCACTCCACACTCCACTTTTTTCCCCACAAAACAACCCTATGATTGAGCTAAGTTGGGCTGAGAGTAACTGGCTCAAAGTCACCCAGTGAGCTCTGTGGCAGAGGGTGGACTTGAACCTTGGTCTCTTCGGTCCTGGTCTAATACCTTAACCAGTACACCACAATGACTTAATTAAATTAAGCTAAACTAAACGTCCTGGTCAAGGAGGGGGTCAGTTTAATGAGTAATTTACTATGTAGGTACACAACCTGAAGCTCCAGCGCTGCATGTGTCTACAACCTGCTTAAAGTTGTCAGCAAACTATAATTTTTTAGGAGATAGTAATCATTTCTATTTAATTAATGTAATATTTGTTGTTCAGTTGTTAAGTCGTGTCTGACTCTTCATGACCCCATGAACCATATTGCGCCAGGCCTTCCTGTCCTTCACTGCCTCCCTGAGTTTGCTCAGTTTCATGCTCATAATGTAATATATAATGGATTGATTTCAAATCATATTGACATTTTATCCTTTCTGCTCACTTTTTTATTCTTGTCCCAGGTTAAAAATTCCTATGAGCTTCATCTATACAAGCCTGAAATCAGTGGAAACAATTTAAAAGAAGAAAAACCTGTCCATATTGGCTTATGTGAGCTAGAGGGATTGGAACTAGTAGATGATTTTCCACTTTCCATCCTCACACTATCTAATGAGCTACTTTTTTGAGTTGAGGTCTGTTGCTTTTTCAATCAATTCAAGAGCGGCACTTATAGGAGAGGGCAGGGCCTGAGGAAAAGTGGGTGGAGCCTGGGAAAAACTGAACAAGTAGTTGCTATGGTTATTATTTATTGCTATACACTTGTTGATTCTACTATTGTTACTAATGTCACTCAGCTCACATCACCTGTTACTGTTAGTGTTTTTATTGTTTGTACGAATATTGTTTGTACCTGTTAAGACAAAATCTGTCACAAGCTACTGTTATGCACTTAAAGTCAGCAGTTGCTCCTTAAATCCCCACCTCTGTCTCTTGGCAGCAGCAAGCTCTGTCTGTGAGCTTCTGCTATCATAGACAGCACTGTGGGCTACAATCAAAAAGAGCACTGCTGGAGCTCCATATGAAACAGGAAAAAGCAGGTGCAGTGAACTATAAGCTAATGGGTGCTGGCAGCATATCCATGACACAAAAAAATAATAACATTTAAAGGGCCTGTTGAGTATGATATCTCAGTTCAGGAATCTAAATGAACATATCCCCAACAGAAGGCTGTCTAGCTTCTGTTTGAACATAATCAAGAAGAGGGAGTTGACTATTGCTTTGATAATTGGTTCCATTGTCAAAATGTTTCTAATATTCAACCGGAATCTAATTTCTATCATTTAAATCTATTTTTTAGTGTCCTGAATTCTAGTATGACAGAGATGACCTTCTTCTGTGTGACATATTTTCAGATATTTGAAATGTTATTATATTCCCTCCCAGTCTTCTTTTCTCAAAGCTAAAGGAACCCAGCTCCTTTAATCTCTCTTCATGGGATTTAGTTTCTCATTGTCTGATAATTTCTGTTGCCTTTCTGTTAACTATTCCAGTTTTCTATATTCTTAGGTATGGTGCACAGAACTGGTACAGTGCTCAAGGTGGGATATAATCAAAACATAATAAATTTGAAAAATTACTTCCTATTACAGTAGAGTCTCGGCTCTAACATAACATAAACGGGCCGGCAGAACATCGGATAAGCGAAAATGTCGG